ATCCCTGTGCTCCTCCCTCTGTGCTCCCCATCTCCGTGCTCCCCCATCTCTATGCTCCCTGTGCTCTCCATCTCTGTGCTCCCCAATCTCCGTGCTCCTCATCTCTGTGCTCCCCCATCCTCGTGCTCCCTGTGCTTCCCCATTTCCGTGCTCCGCCCTCAGTGTTCCCCATATCCGTGCTCCCCCATCTCTATGCTCTCTGTGCTCCCCATCTCTGTGCTCCCCCATCTCTGTGTGCCCCCCGTCTCTGTGCTCCCTATCTCCGTGCTCCCCATCTCTGTGCTCTCCGTGCTCACTCTGTTGGTCTGTGGAGCAGGCGAAAGGCCGTGTACACCCAGGCACGTGGGGGTCGGCACAATGGGAAAGAACTGCCCGCCCTTGCCCGAAGTTTCTTCAGCTACCACAGCAAGGTTTGGTGTGTGCACTGGAGTGCTGTCCCCTGGGCTTGGCCCCGAAGGACCAGCACAGGCCTCTCCCTAAGTGACACCTGCCCACCCGCCCCTCTGGGCCTGGGCGGGGGCAGTGCCTGTCCTGGGGTTGGGCTCAGGAGGCCCGGGGGCTGAGCGCAGCAGGCAGAACAGAGCCTTCGGGTGTGAAAACATGGTCTGTGAACTCTGAGTGGCTTTCTCCAAATAATCACCAGGTTGGGTAACTTGCAACTAGTTCAGCCGTGAAATATCAATGCTGTTTTAGCAAATAGAAGCCGCTTTCTCGTGCCAGGTTGAGGTAACGACACAAGAGATGTCTAATGAGGTTAATGAGGTTAATGAGGTGTCAGGAGAATGAAAACCCAGGAGGCCACCTGGGACTGAGACTGGTTTCCGTCCAGGGTGTGGTGGTCCTCAGTGAGAAGATGTCGGTCTGCGGGAGAGCCCGGCGAGGAGGGTGGCCCAGCTGTCAGGACGCCCCTGGGAGACGCCCTCAGACCCCGCCCGCTGTCCTCCTCCTCCTCGGGGCCCCTCCTGCTGCACCTCCCGGGCTGTCAGCTGGCATGTCGAGTGCTGGCGGCCCAGCCACCCCCGTGCGTGGGGGCCCTGCTTCTGCTTCCCCTGGGGACACAGTCCCACCTGGCAGGACCCCGGGGCAGTGGCCCCAGCTCGTCACTCTGCCCGCCGCCCCCACGCGTGGGCCTGCAGCTCGTTGGGGAGACGGTTTTTATGTGCTCCACCCTCTGTGGTCTGTTTCTCCGGCCGCCCGCCGGAGTTCTTGGGGAGGACCAGGCAGGCAGGCTCTGGGAATATCCTGCCGCGGGCCGTGTTCCGCTGCGCCTCGTCACGCGGAGCCTCCCTGGGAGCACTGCTGGTCTTGGACTCTGGGAGAGAGGCTGGGTCACTTCCGCCCGGGCGGTTGGGGTCAGCGGAGGGGGCATTTCTCCTGCGGGAAGTCATGGGGACACCAGAGGTGAACGGCAAACCAGGTGAAATGAAGAACTGGGCAGGTGCCCTCGAGCCCTGGGGAGCCCTTGGAGGTGAGTGTGACAGGTGTGCAGGGGTAAACGAGGGACTGCCCTGTCGCCTGCTGTGGTTTCCCCGACCACGGAAGAGCCAGCGAGCTGGATCAGAAAAAGAAGGGCCACGGATCAACTGTTTTGAAATGAAAGCAATTACCTTGGGAAACGATCCCCCGCCCGAAAACTGTTCTTGTTCAGATGCCTGCTACCGCGGGCCCCCTCGGATCCGGGCCTGGCTGCCTCAGCTCCCCTGACAAGGCCCCGGAGCAGAGTGGGGGGCGCAGGCCATGGGGTGAGTGGGGCGACGACAGCTCCCCGGGAGGCACCCGGGCTCTTCCGCACCTCCGCTGCCACCACCGGGCAGGCGCTGCTCAGGGGATGTGCCCCGCTCAGCCCTGACCTCCCCCTGTGGTTCCACTGATGGCCCAGTGACAGGGGTGATGGCAGGTGGTTGTGATGACAGAGGTGGTGGTGATGGTGATGACAGAGGGGACAACTGATGGTGACAGGCCACGGTGGCGGTGGTGTGATGGCCGTGATGAGCACTGACTCTTGCAGAGCCCTTACTGCGGCCAATGCCATGCGAAATCCTTCCCACGTTAGATGGTTCACTCCACCGGGAGGCTGTGTGTGTCACTGCCGTGATTCCCACTCTACGGAGGACGATGCTGAGGCACAGGGGAGGCAGCGGGACTCCAGCAACGAACGTGGCCTGAGTCCGCCCTCTTAACTGCTCTCTGTGGCACCTCCAGGAGTCCCGGCGGGTTCCGTTCCCAGCCAGGCCTGTGAGATGCTTCGTCCCGAGACGTGA